GCTACTTACTGGAAATAAGCTGTAGTAGTAATCTCCGATGGTAAGCATACTATTCCATGACACAAGGGACCCAAATCCCAGAACCCAACAAACAGCCAGAGCTTGAAGCTTTCCCTGGAAACCAGAAAGATTGAGAGTTAGATATTTAACACAGATAGCTCCTGATTAGAAAGAATATTGTTAATCTCCCAAAATGAGAAATACCAAGTCCAATCACAAACCTCGAGCCTTTTTGGAAACCCAGTTTCCTCCTCAACAATCATGGCTGCTCCCTGTAAAATTATATCACAAACTTCAAGCTCTGCTCATGTAATGTACATATATATATATGTACATATATATATATAGTTCTGATGATATTCTATTTTTGCCTTGACTCAGTTGAATTTTCAAGTCACAGAGGCATGCAGATCAGAAATACAAGTTGTAGCAAGAAGTTCGGATTAATTAAAGAGAAATATTCACAATGTAATCAGAAAAAGAAACGTAAACCATGCAACTAGAAAAGAGAAGTCAAAAAAAAAAAAAAAAGCCAATGAATCCTAAAAAGGGTATAATACTTGCTTGGTTGGGTATGCCCTGAAAATTGAATCTGGAACTTCAATGAAGACAAACTAGCCAAGAATCCCAATGGAGATTTCAGAAGAAGCTCAAAGAAAGAATAAAACTGAGAAGAAAAACACATGCATCTGCTGATCCAGAACTTGTATTCATATATTAATTTATGCAGAAATTGAAGCTTTTGCTCCTAATGCATTATAGACTATATATATATATATATATATATATATTAAAAAACAGATAAAATATAGCATCACGATCTACACATGGGGAATGGGTTTTGTTAGTGCTGCATGAATAGATTAAGACATTAGAAAAAGAAAAGAAACCTTATCGAGATTTCAACCGCACAGGAGAAGAGAGCGGTGTTCACTTTCTTTTCCTCTGCAAGGACTGGGTATGTATATTGACTCTGCAGATACTTGTTGACGGAAATGAAAAAGCTGAAGATAATGAAGATTCTTTCGGCTTTAATAAAGATTCCTTGAAATCATGATATCGATCAATTATTAGGAAAGTGAATCGAGAGAATCTTCTTGGTGGAAATATATACATATACATATACATATGTATATACATATATATTTCAGTATATCTATTTTTTGGAAATTTATTTTCTTGGAGTGCTAATTGGTGGAAATTACTGCCCGCAAGGACTCTGGTTTTTGATATTGCCCGGGGCTCTTCTTCTTTTTAAAAAATAAATTTAGTTACTTTCAGTCAGTTTCATGCACTAATTAATTAATTAGTTATTAGGGATAATCATGTACGATGATGGAAAATTAAATTTGACTTTTTTTAATGATTGTGATTTGACCCGCTATTATCTTAAGTTCATTTCTAAACATGGTAATTTACAGTTGTAAAATTTGATTAGTACATAATTTTCTAGGAAAAAATTAATTAATTAATATGATTTTTAATAAATACAATGTTAAATAAACCATTTAGTCTGAATTTAAATACTAAAAAAATACTTCTTTTTATTAGCGGGTTGGTGGATATGTATATATATATATATATATATAATTAGTGGGTATATACTCATAGGTAGGCCTGATCATAGATTACTTAAAACTATATATAAGAAAATATCAAATGCAGCAAAAAAAATATACCATATATATGGTTTTTACTAGCTCATATATATGTGTATATATATAGTATACAGTATTTAATATTTGGTTTTTTTTTAATAATAGAAAAAACAAAAAAGCAATTCACCGAAAATCGGGAGATTAATATAAAATAATTTAAAATTAAATTAGATACGAAAAAATTTATACATTAAGCAAAAATTTAATAATTTTTGTCATAAATATAAAAATATTAAATTAATAATTAATTACTAGTTAACCGAATAATTAAGACATCTAATAATTGATTTCTTTTTACTAATAAAGTTTTTTAGTTAAAAGTCAACGATCGGAGTCAACATCTTTCTTAGCTGGATACAACATGCGCGCCCCAATCGAGTCGGTATAGAGATTCAGTTTCATGGTTCACACATAGATATATAAATATATATACTCGCACACGTGTTGGTACCTTCATATTTTATATAATTTTTCACACGTGGCTGTTAATTTATACCGTAGATATATATATATATGTATATGTATGTATGTATGGGTAAGGAGAAGTATTGTGGTAAAATTAGTGTGAGAATTTAATTTGATTGGTTAAATTCAATGGCGTGAGAGTAAATTAGTTTGAATGAGTTCAAAAAAATGAGATTATATTAGGCAACACCCCACACGTTGGGACATGTGACATTGCAACCAAACATTAGGCACCAATTGAAGTTTTTCTCAATAAATGAAAATGGAGTTCTTCTAGAACAAACTTTTTATAACTATTTTTATTTGGTTTGAAATCCTCATTAATTCGCTATATTCCTCTATAAATTTAATTCAAAAATAGGCAATAAGCGAATTAGTTCTGTATCTCGTTTTTTTTTTTTCAAGAAAGTCTTTAAAAGGTGGAGTTGAGGAGTTTTACACGCGAAAGAGGAAGTAGAGAAAGAAATCAAGATAGAGAGAAAAATAGGCACGTGAGAGTGGAGATTGGGGTTGTAGAGGATGATTGAAAAACAATGGACTCGAGAAAGTCTATAACATGTGAAGCTGAAGGTTGGATGACATAAACGGAGTATTTTTGTTTGTAAAAAAAAAAATAGAGGCTTACTGAGCAAAAATAGTTGAACTTGAGGTGCAAGATTGAGAGTAAAGGTTTGGAAAGAGAGCTTGACAAAATTATAGAGAAATATACGGAGGAAAAAAAGGTTCGACATCAATTTTTGTGAGTGTGAATAATATAGAAAGAGAGTCGTGTACAAAAAGTGAGAGTTAGGAATTTTCTTAGCTAAGAAAGAAGAGAGTTATGAGGGAATTAAATGACAGAAAAAGAAATTTACAATAATTTTTTAATATTGTTATTTATTTGAGCTTTTTTTCAAAATATCAAAGAGGAAGTAAGAAGATTGAGAATTCTTGTAAAGAGATTTTTCATAGGATTAGTTGTTCTCTTATTTTTTGAACTTAATATAGGTGAAGAAAGAGTTAAACATGGTTGAAAGTTTAAATGTTGGGTCCACGTAAAAACAAGAACGTAGGGATTTCTTTTAGAAGATAAAAAGTTAGATCAGGTTTTCAGCTACATCATGAGTCGGTAGAAGATGTCCAACTTAATCACCACACTCGTACTAATACATTAATGAGTTAATCTCTAAACTCCATTAGATAAAATTTTATTGACTAATTATAATATTTTTAATAAAATTTGAACTTGTGACTTTCAAATAAAATATAATGATTTTAACCACTAGTTTACTGTGTTAATAATACGAATTAGGAATTTGTTAAGGAAAAATGGAGAGATTTCTCAGAAATTTAACTATCTGGCTCCATGTTTTCAACTTGGAATTATTGTCGGTTTTCAAAAACTTTCTTTCTCTACAAAAAGTACTTTATAAATTCCTTTACTAATTCATAGTATCAATAAGCTATATTTATAATAAGATACTAAAATCTAAAGCAAATTAATTGGTTTACACCACTTAGTATATATTTTATACTTTTATATCTTATATCATTTTAATCATAAATAATGTTATTTTGATCGTTAATTTTAGTATTTACACGTCAACAACTCTTACTTCTTATAGTATTTTTTTTTATAACAAGCTACGTTGTTGTTGACTGTGACACTATTTTTATGAAATTTTTTTTACTTTAAATGATTATTAAAGTTGATTTTGAAAGATCAATAACAACCTTTACTTCGTAAAAAGTGGATAACTAGCGAAGAAAAGACTCTTAGACTCTTATCTCATACTTGCTCTCTCTGACTCAATTCCTGTGTCTTCTTTTCATACTAAATCCGACCACGAAGTGATGTTTCATAAATTTTCTAGATGGTAAAAATTATCTTTTTAAAAAGTAAAATTCAAACATCACCAATGTTTATATTTTCAAATTACTTGTGTAAAAAAATTTATTTTTCATATCATAAATAATATAAATATCACATATCTCCATATAGACTCTCGTTAAAATTCTTCATCAAATAGTCCAAAGAAACAAATAAGGTGGAATGATTAGAACTAGACCTTAAGACGTTATTGACTACCTACTTGCAAATAAAAAAATATAAATACATTTATGTGTATATATACATATTTACCTAATTAAAAAAAAAAAAACTTAGCCTAACTAAAGTTCTACTAACCCCTTGTATACTTTGTATACAAATTTTAATTAATTCTATATTAAAAATCAATTATTCAACAACTACTTTAATTTATGTCATATTATATACATGTATATATATATATATATAAGAGTAGCGGTTGAACCACAATTATATCATATTTAATGTATGTCTCTTAAGAGCTTGATGAGGTCATAAATAACATGAGAAATTTTATCTATAAATAACATGAGAAATTTTAAGTAAAAATAATAAAATTCAAACGTATTTTAAGAATATTCTATTATATTTGCGGATATTTATTACTGTAACTCAAAAATATATATATATATATAGAAGAATTTTAATTTTAATTTTAATTTTAATTTTATTTAAATTAATAAAATTTTAAATAACAAAATTTTAACGTTAAATACTTATAATATTATTTTATATTTATTATTCAGTAAATTATATTTAAATATTATTTTAAACAATATTTTCTTTTATTTACTATGCAAAACTTTAATTATTTAGTTAAATATTTTACACATTTTTTTAAAACTAAAAATAATAAAATAAATGTAGATAAATGGTAATTATCACACGTGAAAAATTAAGAGATTTACTGGTCAGTATCCAGGAGGAATGATGATGGCGTCATTCTGATGATTGTGGGCCACACATACCTTTTTGGGCAACTCGATCTCGCTAATGATTGGTCCGTGACGTACAGTTTTTCACCGCAGTGGAGTTAGCATTATCGACTGTCGAGAAGGTATGACTGGCTGCCACGTCTTGACAAACTAGAAGACAATGACACGTGGATGATCTAGGGGCCCACATCAGCATGTGGGGCCATGGGCTCTTCTGGCCTTCAAATTTAGAAGTGAATGCCAACCGTCTTCGTCGTTTTCTAATTTTTAGACGAAATTATTTTTAAATATATTTGTTTGGAGAAATATATTGTTTTCTAATTTAGGAACCATACATGTACTTAAAATTATTTTATTAGTCTAACAATTAAGTATTTAACACTATTATTATTATTATTATTATTATATTGAAGAAATTAATAATTTATGTAATTTGACATTAATTTTTTTATGCTAAATGTAGCTAAATTTTTATAAAAGTTCGATATTTCTTTTAAAATTTAATATTGTTAAAAAATTAGAACAATAATAACTTCATACGATAAGATTTGTTTAAATGTGGTCGGTGTAGAATATAAACTATTTTGTATGCCAGTATATTAGTGAGATACTAACACCTGTTATAGGTAAAGATATTTTTTAATAAAAAATATTGTGTTATACGATTTACAAATTAAAGTACTTATTAGATTTATATATGTGTATATATATATTTAGCTAATGTAATTCCATCCATAGCCTGTATATATATGTGAAAGTTGGCCTTAAGTAGCAAGTGAAGTCTAACGAGACTGAAATTGAGATAGATGACATGATGAATATATAAGGAGATGATGTTGGCAAGATAACCTGCATACATAGTTTAGGGGGTAATTGACGGCGAAACAAGTAAAGGTAAAGGTAAAAATAAATATAAAATATGAGATATCTAAGTCGTGAGAGTGGTAGACTTAGAAGTTGAGATAAAATAAGAAAGAAGATATGGTGGCTTGAAAAAATCAGAGGTGCTGAAGAAATAGAGGAAGAATGGAAAAAAATGCTTTGGGACTGGAGGAGTGTTAGCAGACAAAGAAGATGGCAACCATGGATCCACAAACATAGGCACTATCCAAGGTCATAGCGATGCAGACGACATGGGAGGAGTAGAAGATTGGTTTGTTGAGGATGATGGAGGGGTAGTATGGGGAGCTTTTTTTTTTAACTTTTTCAAAATAATTTAAATAATATTTAAAAATTCATCATGTCATATATTACGTTAAATGATATATAACATTTTATATAAAAACTTAACTAACTAAATAAGGTAATGAATCCAAGTTAAAGGTGTTAGTGACCATTAATAGAGATGGATTAGTTCGAACATTGTTTCAAAATACAAGAACTAATTCAATGCAAAATTGATATATACTAAAATCGAACAAAAATAACACGAGAACAAAAAATATATTTGAGTATGTTTTTGTTTATATTTTTATAGAAGAGAACAAAAGAAAATATATGAAATGAAAAGAATATATTTAATTTGTTAAGCAGATAGATAGAGAATTAGAGGGGAGATGAAGGATAAAAAAATAGAGAATGAGAGATGGAAAAGTAGAAAATTGGATTTATATATTAAGGAGTAAATTTATTGGTTTTTTATTATTATTATTTTATTAAGTGTTAGTTTATTATTTGATGGCTAAATTTATAATTTTATAATACATTTTTAAATTTTGAATATGATATATAATTTTCAGTATATAATTTAAAGATTAATCATATACGTAAGTATATTTTGACAATCATATGCTTAAGAAGAAATTCAAAAAACACTCGCATGACACCATTGATAGCCTATTTAATTTAGAATTTTAAATATAATTTATTTAAAATCTTTTAAATATAATATGTTTATAAAATAAAAAAAAAAGAAAAATAAATAAATTTTATTCACATTTCACATTTTTTTAGTTTTTAGGTTTTAACTTGATCATTTATTCTTATTATTAAGATTCGTTCGAAACTTTATAAAGGGATAATTTGGTGATTGTATCTCTCTCGTTAAATACTTATATACTCCACTTGTTACCACGAGAATGTCAAAGCTAGGGACAAAATGAGGGATTTGAATGATTAACTTCGGCCTTTAGAAGGCTATGCTCTACATTAAGTTACTTATGCCACCTAGTGTAGTAGTAAAACACTATTGAACAATTCACATATTACTTAATACGATCAACTTCTATTTTTCTCTCGACTCTTAACCTTTGATCGAGTTATGGAATAGACAACTAAGAAGTGTTGGGCTACAATGAAAGGGAAATACTTTTTACGCTTCACATGAGATGACGATTAGTAGATGAGGTCTAGTGTGTGCTCTTGATCACAAAACCTAAAGAGGCGAACTAGTTGGATTGCCCTTTCAATCAATCTCCAATTACTCAGCGTCATTATTGGTGTGCGTTGTAAAGAGTCTTTGTCTGAGTTAAGTTAGGGAGCCATCTATCTTTAAATTAAGTTTTTTTTATTGATATGATTGTTTTATGATACAATAATTCGAGCATCAACTCCATGAGTCCGCTTGAAAACAATTAATTCTGTGTGATACGTTATACTTGTTTAATTGGTGTTTGTCAGCTACTAGAGCAAATAAGTGATTCTACTTCCTATTTTTAAATAAAATAAATATTTTTATTTAATAATAAAAAAATATGTTCAAATATCCTAAAAAAATGATTTAGAAGATTCAAAATTTTTTTTAAAAAAACAACATAATAAATGCAGTCAATTCATACAAATTGATAGAAAATATGATTCAAATCTAACATACCATTTATAGGTACATAAAAAATATATTGAATCGATTTTTTTTTAATAAATAGATCTGATCACAATTTCAAATATAAAATTCAAAAGAATTAAATAAAAAATAATATTTTAAATCATAGACCTATAATAAAATATTTAAATAAATTTCATTAAAAATAAGTGAATCCCGAATTCTTAATTCATAATCGGATTTTTTATATCTTTTTTTAATATAAAAAATAGGAAGAAATCTCAAAATATTAGATTTGCAATCTCATTTTGCCAAAAAAAAAAAGAAAAAAGAAAAAAGAGAATTACATCTCATGTTGAAAAAGAAACAAAATTAAAAAAAAAAAAAATCAAGTTGCATATAAGTTAATATGATAAAAAGACAGCTGCAGATTAATTTACAAACCGTATGCCGCCGGTAATTTACAAAGTTGACATTTTTTATATTTTGTTTTTTAAATATTTATAATTATGAACATCAAATATTGTTAATGTTTTAAAAAATAAATATTATATTTAAATTTTATAATAATTAATTTTATTTTATTCTAAATTTCATTTTCAAAAAACCACTAGCAAACAAACCGACCGCTTGCTCAACGGCGGCCCCACCGCCAAATTGTAAATTATTACAACGTCAAAACGATGTTGGTCTGTGATTCTGGTTTCATCACAGTCGCGTCACTGTAAATCTTCCCGGGCAGACATTCTTCACTGTTTTATCACACAACAGCAATTTTCATGTTCCCACGAACCCAAACTCCATTAACGCAACTAAACCAAAAAGTCTTCCTCCTCCTTTTCTCTTCAATTCATTTTGTTTTGTTTTGTAATATTTATCTAATTTTTCTTTAGTACTCGACAGTAAACTCGAGCAACAGAATCGGAATGTCATCTCACTACCCGTCGGAGATGGATTCGGTCACCGATTCCGTCACCTCCTCCCCTCGATCCGACCATTACCCGCACCATGATCTCCATCCACGTGTCCGCTTCATGTGCAGCTTCGGCGGCAAGATCCTCCCTCGACCGCACGATAACCAGCTTCGTTATGTCGGCGGTGACACCCGAATTGTTGCGGTCAACCGCTCCATCAGCTTCTCCTCTCTCCTCACCAAGCTCTCTAAACTCTCAGGCACTCAGAGCTTCAAATTTCCTTACATGTATTTATTGGTAATTAGAAGAAACGTATTTTTGCTTATTTACTTATTTGTTTAAATATTTTTGATCAGGTACGGGCGGTAATGTTAGCGTGAAGTACCAGCTGCCAAACGAGGATCTTGATTCGTTGATATCTGTGACGACCGATGAGGATTTAGAGAACATGATGGAGGAGTACGACCGATTAGCACAGAATCAAAACCCGCGCTCCGATCGGCTCCGGTTGTTTCTTTTCAACAAAGGGGACGGCTCAACGGCTAGCAGCATCGGTTCTCTCCTTGACGGCTCGGCTAATCGAGAACACTGGTTTTTAGACGCTTTAAACAGCGGCGGCGGCGGCGCGCTGCTCGAGCGCAATCGCTCTGAGGCTTCCTCGGTCGTCTCCGAGGTACCGGATTACCTTTTCGGGTTGGATAACTCCGATGACACGCAGACCCGGGAGCTGAAATCGAAGACCCGGTTTGGCCTGCATGACAATGTTTCGGTTTCGGACCCGGGTTCTCCCGCTCCGGTTGTTTCATCTCCGTTCTGCTCCACTTCTTCTGCTCCGACCGTGGCTTCTCTCCCGGATCTTCCACCGGTCAAGACCAAACCCGATAACGCAGATCCAGTGGTTGAACCGAAACATGATTGTAGACCGGAGGGATACGTAGAGCAACCAGCAATTCAGCAATCCGGGTATTCCGGTAGCCCGATTTGGCAATACGCTTCAACTCCGCAGTATTTGCCTCCGGCGATGCAGCAGTTGCCGGTTTATTATGTTCCGCAGGGGAACACTCCGGTTCAACCAGTAACAGTTCAGGCGCCATATGCTCGTCAGTACCCGGTACAAACGGGTCAGATACCAATCGGGTACCACCAGCAGGTGGCGGGTTTATGCCCCGTCTATGGCGGAACAGTGAGGCCTGTTGCGGCAGCAGCAGATCCATATGACACTTCAATCAGAGTAGTTGGTGATGGAATGAACCAGCAAGTTTATTACGGAGTGAAAAATCCGGGTCCGGGCCAAGTGTACTCAGGTATGATGGTTTCGGGTGGGGAAGAAATGTATGTGAGGGGTTCCGATGCGAATCCGGGGCGGGCAACACAGTGATGATGAGGATAAGATTGGTAATTAAGTGATGCCGTTTTGCTTGTATCATTTATGTTTGCGATTGGTGTGAATTATAAAGTGCCTTTTTTTTTGGTGGGTGAGAAAAAGAAAGAAAGAAAAAAAAAATAAATTGAAAAAAATAATATTTGCATGGAGTTAGGGAAAGAACTTTGTGAATTTGAATTTTGGGCTTTTTAGAAAAAGATTGTATATATTGAATATTTTATCTTCATTTTATTTTGTTCTTAATTTTTATTTCGTCGTTTAAACACCCTAATATAATGTTAGGTTTTTTAAAAAAAATAATTTTCACATATACTTAAATTGATAACGATTTAATAAGCATTAGTACTCGATGAAATTTCAATTATTTTAATAGAATTTATAGAGTTATAATGTTAGAATTGAACAAATACAATTGAAGTTTTCTAATATTATTTAAAATTTGATAATCGAGAAGTTCGTGACTTAGTGAAAATTATATCGAGGGAATCATGATGTGGTTGGTTAGAGATTATACTACTTTCTTGAAAAAAAAAAACATAAGTATCAATTTCTACCGTAATTAACATTTTGTTTCCATGGCTGGAAGCAGAATGTTCAGTTGTAAGTCTTGGTTCTTCAATATAATGTATACACACACATGTGAATAGAACGTAAATACTGATTTATAATATATGCATATATAATGTGTGAGTTTTGTGTTGTTGAAAGGTGCAGTTGAAGGCAGCTGATGAAAGGCCCAGAATGTGATCAAGTGTTTGGTTGTGAGGAGTTCTCAATTTGATTCCATCAACCCTAATCTCAACTGTGATAAAACTCTTTGTGGGTCAATGGCTTTGTGTTTCTGGCTCTGCTAATTAATTAATTACTAATATTAGTGTTAATTAAGAAACAAAGCTTTAATTATGAATATTAAATTTTTTATTATGAAAATAATATTTTGACAAGAATAAATAAAAACACATCTGATTCAAACTCATAATTTTTTACTAAATCTCGAAATATTTTATTTATCAAAAATTCGATATTTAATCTATAGCATTCGAGACTTTATTGGGCCTTGAATCCAACTCCGAGCTTCTAAATTTCAAAGGTTTGATAAAAGTCCATATATGACAAAATCAATCAATTATCGAATTCGAATCCGGTCTACGTCTAAATTTAAGTTATATAATCCTGTACATTTTTTTTTAAAAAAATTTAAAATTAATATTCAATTATATTTATAAAATTTATCAATTCATATATTATTTTCGGGTACGCCCTAAATTTACGAAAGAGTTTGAAATCGGTAAATTATATGACGGAGTGGTCCCTAAGCTTCTTATTCTTCTTTTTCTTTCCTTAGATCCTTAAATATGGAAGAAAAAACCATACTATAATTATTGCATTGTTACAAAATTCGAGACACAAATTTAATTAAATTAACTTTCTCTCCATCTCCATCTCCGCTAATTAATTAACAGTATCGTCATTGTAATATGAGTTCAATGCCGTGACCATCCAGATTGCATACCATAAACAACAGTTAAATATATACATATCTGTAATATGGTATGTACGTAACCATGTATAGATAGATAGATATACATATATATATATATGTACATACATATATAAGTGTGTGGTATATAAGAAGAGTTTTGCATCAATGGAGACAAAGAGAGGGGGAAGGAAGGAATGCTCCAAGGGGTTGGAGAAAACATAATGATGATGTTGTCTGCATGGGATGAAAGGCGTGCGTGCATGCACTTATTATCTCACTTGACCTTTCAATTTCTTACCAAGCACGTATCTACAATATCTTCTATGCTAATTAAAATCTATAAAGCAACCTATAAGTTTACTTACTTATTTAATCTATTTGGATGGTAGTAAATGATAAGATTTTAATATATAATATTCTGTGAGTGTGAGAAAATCATGTTTATTTTAAATTCTAATGATAACAAACGGTATCTGACTGACAAATTTAAAATAAATTTTAAAATTACTGAATAGGAAGTACGTGAATGAGAAGTTACTTTTTTTTTTCTTTTATACTCTCATATATTAATATTTAATTCTATTTTTATATTCACAATTTATTATTTATTTTATTAAATATAAAAATTTAATTTATAATAATTATTTATTTAAATACAAATATAATTATATTGGTAAACAATTTAATTTTTTATTATTATATACTTCTTATATACTACTTAATATAATATAAATAGGTAGGGATAAATTAGTAATTTGATTGAAAATACAATAATATCATCTTATCATCCAAACAAAAATATGTCATTAATATATATTAATATACAATTATTTAAATATAAAATTTTTTTATCATCTTCATCCTATGCTAGTGTTATTCAATTAATACCATTACCATACATTAATTAATTATTACTTAAATTTATTCAAACAGAATGTTAGAAGATATATATATGTAAATTTTAGGCATATATATATATATATATATATATGATGATGATACTAACCAACATAATTATGAAAAAATAACTGCAAGATTATGAAAAAAATAATTGTAGCTATGATGGCCTTTTCAGATTTCTTTTTAATAAAATTACTCAATTAATTATGTGATATACATATATGTGCTAATGATAATACAATATACATAAGTTTATTAAGAATGATTAGGTCAAATTTTTAATTTGTGATTATCTTAACTAAAAAAATTAAACCGTAGTCACCGAACTTTTATTTAATTTAAAATTATAATAAATTTATTAAATTTTAATATAATTTAATAATTATAATTCTATTAATAAATTAATTTTTTAATATTTTAAAATTAAATATTATATATCGGTCATTTTTAATTCATAATAGACTGATAGTTAATCTCTGATTAATTAACCTAATTAATTTTTACAAAAAAGGAGACTCGTAGAAAGTGAAATGTATAAGTTAACCTGGAAGAACAATTTCAAATATCAATAGAAAACACAGGGGTATATACAAAGTGTGTTTGTATGATATAGATGTATATATGTGCGTATACATTTACATATATATACGTATATATACAAGTTATCACAATTAATATATATTGGAGTTTCAAAAGAAAGATAAAGTATGAACAGAGAATTCCAAAAAGTTTGTGTGTGGAGACTAAGGCCTCTCATTAAAGCTGGAAGTGACATGACAATATAGGGTACTATTAGTTCTCTTCTTTATCGTCACAAAAATTAAGAAATATACACACACACACATATATACACATATATATATATATGCATATATCTGTACACACACACACACACACATATATATATATATATATACCAGTGTTATGTTGCAGACCAGGTAACCCTAACATTTGTTTTTTTTTTTGTTTCAAGTCAAAATATTTTATATTAATGGTGGAGGAGTCATATGATACTCGTATGGAGTACCAAATAATTTTTAATTTTATTATAATAAAATTATTAATGGAGTAAATTGAATAATCTTTTGGAAATTTAGAACCCAAATGAAAAATGTTTTTTTTTTTTAAAATAGTAAAATAACTGAAATTATGTGAATAAATAATTAAAATATATACTTTTATTTATAAAACGACTATATATATTATATATAATTTTACATTTGAGAATTACAAGATGAAAATTTCTTGCAAAATTTACCAAATTAATTTTTCTATCTTGTTGTTAATGAGTTGTGTGTGTGTATCCAGAGATATTTATTGCATATATTGTTTAATAAATGAAATATGTACGTTTGTTCATGCTCCATTTCTCTCTTTGATTTTAAAAACTCATACACATATTTCTATAATATATAAATATATATATGTATATGTATGTTTCTCAGAAAAATAATATATATGTGATTAAGTGATAAGTACAATAGAAACAATTATTTAATGAATTGATATTTAATAAGTTATTTTTATTTTATTAATTTTTTATTATTTACTTTAATTATATTGATTTTATTAATTATTTTCTAAATTAAAACATGATAATCTTTTAAAAAATATTTCAATTTGATCGGAAGAAACTAAACTTGGTCTAATTCATTTCTGAGTGGAGTAAAATGTGTTTAGTTTAATTTTCGGTATCTTTTCTAATTCAGTTCTCAATATAATTTTATCGAAGTTTAAATTATTGATAAACATTCCTATAAAATATATTTTTATATATAAATATATACAATGAGTAGACATACAACTAATCATTTTTTACCAGAGTAATTAATACTCTCGTTATTTTTTATAAAAGCATTTGTCTGACTTAGGAATTGTATTTCGTCCAATTTATTTCGAGAGTACTAAAATGTGATTGGCCTAATCTTGAGTCCGTGTATGTATTTTTTTTTTTAATTCGATTATCGGTTCAGTACGATTCAATTAAGTTATACGTTCGGGTGTCTTTGTTGGGCAATTACGTAAATAGTAAGTATTTAATGAATAAAATATACAAATTTAAAATTGAAAAAGAAAGATGAAGATGCAATGGGGGTGGGGGATATAGAGAATTTGATTGATGAATGAGGAGGAGTAGGGCCATGAAACAAAATTGGCATTAATAGGAACACGCGAGTCATATGTAAAGGCAGCAGGCCAAGTTTCTGGCTGTCAAAAACTTTGATGGGTCTCCATAGAATTTACTTTTTACTCGCAGCTGTCTCCCTCTTACCCAAAATTTAAAAACCCTAAGTTTTTTTAACCATTCAATTTTGAAGATTAGATAACTTTTCAATCTCATTGGTCCATTACATTTATCTCTCTGCTTACTTACAGTCTTGTATCAATACCAGCAAATCTTGTCTCTTCTTTCTCCATATTGGACCACTCAATCCCTTCCCCACCCTTCTTTCTTTCTTCCCACCCTTTTATTTACCCAATAAAAAGTTCATGCCTTTCTCTCTCTCTCTCTCTCTCTCTCTCTCTCTCTCTATATATATATATAAAGTGTTACCCATAATATCATTCTGGCTCGAGACAAAGATTACTTAAAAGCAAGATTAACCCAATATTTAAATGTTAGTCAATCTCATTATCTTATAACTTTAGGAGTGTTAATCAATATGCATAGTGCAAGTAACACTCATGATTGAGTCCAAATTATTTGACTGTTAAAACTTTAAATTTAATTGTTAGACACTAAGTGATTTTGCTTTCATATAAAGTTGAATAATTCTATTTTTTTAGCTCACCCGTATAGTTATTATAGATATAATCATGCTCCTAAATTACAGTATATAAAGTACATAACATATATATATATTAAGACTCTGGACCAGGACGATGATATCTGCTGGAGAAGTACTGGAGGAAAAAAAGCTGGTGATAAAAGCTGCTGTGGCAGCTACAATATGTACTCACCACTGGATTTAGTTATACATGTATGTATATTCATCTATCCATGTTTGTATAGCCGAACAGCATGGATGAATGTATATGTTGGATTACTATACAGTATAGATACAGATAGAACATATTTCATTCCCTTTCAATTTTACATTCCAGAAGAAGCAAATTAATTATCAATCCTTATTTTCTTGCGAGATAATATTTAATCTTGTTTTTTCACAGTGAAAGTTACCAATTTACCATACGGGAATTACAATTTTACAGAATGAAATAATCAAACAAAAGCATTTTACCTAACAGTACCCTGTGAAATAAATGCAACCAGAATGTTTTTTTTTTTTTTACTGTGTTTTTTTTTTTCTTTTCCAAGGAGAAGATAAGGTTGAAACTTGATGAGGAAGAGGGTGCAGGGACCAACAACATATAAGTTAATGGAGTTGCAGAGAGACTGAGAACTGAACCAGAAGATTTTACAGCTTCTCTTCTTCTTCTTTTTCTTTTTCTTCTTCTTTTTCTAAAGCACAGAAAGCGAAGCTTCTGTTTTCCATCGTTATTATTTATTCTCAACGTAAACCCAATAGGGGAAAGAAGGAAAGAAAAACAAGAAAAGAAAATGGAGTTTGATCTTGAGAATCCATTGACGAGCTTGGAAGAAGATTACCACCAACCTGATACTATCCCAGTTCTGTTCTCTACTGAATCTGATCACATGCCTTGTAAAAATCTTCTACAAATCTTGAAAACCAGTGACTTTCTCTTCTCTTTTCGTCATGAAGCTCTCTCTCTCATTTTACAGGTGATGAAACAAGAAAGAAATAAAAAAAAAAAAAACAATGGAACAGTAACTTGTTTGATTCTTTTTCTTCTGGGTGGAATATCTTTGTTGACTCGTTTTGAATGGCAGGCTCAGTATTCTTGCAACTTTGACCAGTCAGTATCTTATCTTGCTGTTAATTACATGGATCGGTTCATCTCCAGGCAAGAAATTCCGGTAATGAAGTTGCTTACTTTTTGCTTTAATATACATGTATTTTCTGTTTGGTTGCTGAGAAAATCTTGGCGAATTATTGCAGCAAGGAAAGCCCTGGGTGTTGAGACTACTTGTTACTTCTTGTCTTTCTCTTGCTGCAAAGATGAATAACACAGAGTTTTCAGCCTCTAATTTTCAAGTAAAGCTTTTTCTTTTAACAAAAATGATACTGAAAAATCACATTTTCCTTCTCTTTCTTTGACTCATTTACTCCATGAAAAAAAAAAACAGAGAGGATATGGATTCATGTTTGATGCTCAGACAATTCAAAGGATGGAGCTTTTGATTCTTGATGCTCTGAAATGGAGATTGAGATCAATAACACCTTTCTCATTTACCCATTTCTTCATTTCCTTTATTCAACTCAAAGATCCTCCATTAAAACAAGCTCTCAAAAAACGAGCTACCCATCTGATCTCCTTAGCTCAAAATGGTAAGAACAGAACAAAAAAAAAGAATCTTGTTTTTCGTTGCAGAAACGGAGTTTCATGGCTGCCCTCTGTTTTATTTTATTTTTGCAGAAATTAGTATATTAGAGTTCAAGCCATCGATAGTTGCAGCATCATGTCTTCTTCTAGCATCTCACGAGCTGCTCCCATTACAGTTTCCTTCTTTCAAAGAATCAATTTTGACTTCTGAGTATGTAAATAAAGTGAGTACTCCATTAAAATTTACCCCATAAAGCTTCTTCTTTTCTCTCTTGTTACATTTATTCATCTCTCTGGTTTTCATCTTTGTAACAGGAGAGTCTGTTAAGGTGTTTTAATGCAATGGAAGAGATGGTGGAGAAGGAGGAATACGAGTCAAAGTTAGATACACTGTCGAGCACGACGACTCCGTTGAGCGTCCTGGATTGGCACCGTACGAGATCAGAAAGTGAGAGCAGCACCGGAGACGCCGTTAACGTGGACGTTACGGTGCCAGAGAAGAGGAGAGAAATCAAACGGCGGAGATTGAATGGGTGTAGCGGTGATGAAAGTAGGGTCCACATATTCCAACGGTGTTGATAAGATCAAGAGGAAGGTGAGGAATCAGAAGATAACGGCTCGTCACTGTAACCTCATTTTCTCATTTAGTTTTGGAATGGAAAAAGTAAAAACCAAAAAAAAAAAAAAGTTATTTATTTTTTGTTTTTTCTTTTTTATAAAATTGGTCACTTATTCAAGACTAGAGAATTCTTATTTTCTCCAAAATTAATCATAAAAATACAATTTTTAAATAAAAATTATTATATTTTATGCCTATACATAAATTATAATACAATTTTTTTAAGAAAAATACATATTGATTATAAAGATTAGAAGGGAAAAGTGAAGGTCTGTCTCGTTGACCAGAAGAAAAGAGAGTAAAGGGGTTGTTTGGTCAACGGTAAAATCTGTGGGAAAGTAGGGAAAAGATTTTCAGAGGACATGAAATTGGCGGGAAAGAAAAGGGTTTAAAGAAAATTGTGGGGATAAGAGAGAGAGAGAGAGAAAGGCAGCGTTTTAAGGCACGTAGCTTTCTTGAAAGATTGCAGCATCTCTGTCCAAGCAAATGTCATATAACACTAATATAAAATTATATGCTCGATATATCATTTCTATCGAATATTAGAAGAACGATCTCAATCTATTATAAACTATGGTTCATCAATTTTGAATACCGCAAAATGGATACTCACTAGTGCATATGACCCTCCATATTGCTCAGCAAAAACCTGTTTTTAGAAGCAACTTATCCAACTAAACTCATATATTAGCTTTTTAAGTCGCTACTAGTGATTGACTTTAATGAAATTTTAAGTGTCATCGGAAGAAATAAAGAAAAAAATCAGAGTGGCGTATCTACCTATAAATTTAAGGAACGTTAAAAAATAATTTCGAGTTTAGAGACTTGCGGTTTATTGACAACACATTTCTTTGGGCAAATAAATTTGAAAGTTTACCTAGAAACTTCAGTTTTATATGGATTTGTCATTTTTTCTTACCATGATCCGCTCATTATTTTCACTTCAAGCTCTAAAAAGCTTGTCGCTGTACCACTCAAATTCAAAGAGGCTTGGTTGAGGGATGCCTTATGTGCGTTGGTGGTGAAAAATATCTTAGAAACATCATTCTTTGGCTCGGTTGCGCATCACCTGTAACACCCGAATAAAAATAAATATTTTATTTATTTATTTTTATTTTTATTTATTTATTTGAATTTTTTATTTAATTTAATGAAAATAAAAATAATAATAATGATAAAATTGGGTAAAAATATTATTTGGATTTAATTGAAATTGACTTTGAGAAAAAAGGGGTAAAAATTTAGATTATGGGAGTGTTTTTGAAAAGAAAATCAGAAACCGGGGGTCAAAACGCAATTTAAAAAAGTTGTACCACGTCAGCACCATGTCAGCAGTCACGTCAGCGGCCTGGTCAGCAGCCCCGACCAACCAGAACGCGCCGCGTGGCAAGGCAACGCTGACCAGGAAACGGGCCACGTGGGTGATCCGCGTGTGCGCGATCGGACAGCCCAGATCCGTTCCCGCGCACACGGACGGCCCAGATCCAACGTGCGCACGGACGACCCAGATTCACGCGCACGGACGGTCCAGATTCAATCAGGTACGGACGACCCAGATTGCATCGCGATGAACGGTCCAGATTTAATCCCAATTAAATCGCGATCGAACGGCCTAGATTCAATCTTGATGGACGGTCGAGATTAAAAGCCAAAGGGTATAAATACTCCCACCCACACCTGACCAAAGAAACTCTAGCCGCCAGTGCTCGTCGGAGAAGAAGAACCAGACGCCGGAGGAGTCGGCCGCCGCCACCCGCCGCCGCACCGGGGAAGTTTCCGACTGCTGATCGAGGAAATTTTCTCCCCCTTGCTCGTTTTTCGACGCTGAGTCCGCTTATGGCCAAACCGGAGCCAAACCACCGGCCAAACGGCCGAAAAACCCAGCCGAAATCCAGCGGCGCCGCCGCGCCCCTCCTCGATTTTTGCCTCCGATGAGGCCCTTCCCGGCCTCCGTTTGATGCAAATTTTATACCACTGTGATCACCGTTCTTTTCTCTACAGGTTGATCGGAGCCAAACATCAAAACGCGACTCACGTCGGAGGAGCCGCCGCACCCGAGAGCATCGCCGCCGGTAAGTTTTCGTTTTTCGTGATTTTTCGGCCCACCGAGGGCCCTAGAGTTGTTCTATCGCAGGGACCGATGCAAGCGTGACCGAATTCGACCGAAAACGGCCAACTCGAGGCGAATCGCCGCCGTAAGCGGCAGCGCCGTCGCCGGAGCACGGCGGACCCGCCGTGCCGGAATTGTGATATTGGCCGAAAGGGGCCCTTGGTCTAATTTTGGATTTTTTGGGACACGTGCAGGTACCAGTAGTGCGTTTCAGTTCCCCGAAAAAAATTCAGAGAAAATTAGGGACAACCTGTAGGCGCACTGTAGAGCCGTATTCAGACCCCGAAACAAGTA